ACACACACACACACACACACACGTTTACAGAGCTTTATCAGACAACAGACAGTTTAATTTTTCTGAAGGAATATGTGATTGTGCACACGCCAACATGTATAAACTCCCAGCTGTTCAGGAGTTTGCAGCGTGTCTCAGCTGCTGTTTGTGACCAGACTCAGACAGGAAGTGGTCTTCATGTCTCGTCCAGCCCACCGTGTGCCGATAAAACTTAGAGAAAGTTCTTCTCCAGATAAATGAAGAGCCGCTGGGACATTGTTAAACGTTTCACACCACCGTGAGACCGCTTCATATTTTTGAATGACGCTTTTGTTTTAGTGAGACGCTCATCGCAGCTCTTTTTTTTTTTTTTTTTTTCCTCTCTGTGTGTCAGGAGGGGTTGTGGCTGCCTGATCCGTCCTGGTAGAACGATCTGTACTGTCAGCTCATTAGTGCTAAATCAGACTTATGAAATGTGCTCTGTTTAGGAAAAAATACTGAACACATTTATTTCTATACTTTATTATAAATATGTGTTACATTATATTCAGAAAACAGTTTAAATATTGAAAATATTTTGATTAAAAAATATAGATTTATTATTCGTACATATTTATTTATAATAACTTGCTAACTTTTTTTCTAGACAATCATGTCATAACTCATCTTTTTATTTTTTTCCTGCAACAGCTGTTGTTAACGTTACCTTTTCTATGAAACATTGCAGCTGATGAAAGACTGAAGTTGAATGAATTTTGTCATTAGCTTAGCTCAATGCTACATGCTAAAAACAATGTTTTCAGGACAGTGCGGCTCGGGCAGCCACAGGGACACCTAGCATGTCTGTTACCAGGTAACACAAGTACAGGAAGTGACAGCGGCCAAAATACCTCAGAAACTCACCCAAATAAGTGAACTCTGTGAGATTCAGTGTTTTATACTGGAYTACTTTTTGTTTGGTTATTTCTGCGATTCCATCCACGTTTATTTATTAATATCCTGATGCATCTCAGTAATCCAGGTAGAAAAATAAAAAAGAAAAAAACCAGTAGGTCCTCTGGATGGTTCTTTAATGAAACTTTTCATCTCTCCTCCAAGAGACTTCTTCAGTCTGAGTTTCAAGTATAAGCTCCGCCTCCACATGGACAAACAGGTTAGTCACATGTAAAAGAGGACCACTGCCTAACAATAGGCTTGATTAGCTCTGTTGTTCACAGAGGGTTCACCTGAAACTCATCAGACTGAAGAAGAAACGTTTCACCAAAGAAGAACCATCCAGAGGATTTACTGAGTTTTATTTTTGATTTACTAAGTAACTTATAAACAGAAGTGGAGCAGGAGAAGGTGGATTCTGATTGGCTGTTGTTGCGCACATTTCCACCATGTTTGATCAAGTAAGAGGCTCACAGCTGATCACCATGATTGACYTGAATTTTTTCTCGATTAATAATCGTGATCAAATAATAGCCCAGCCCTAGGTGAGTGAAAATTAAAAAAATAATTCCTCAATAAGTCTAAAACCACAGCAACTGTTTTAATACTGATACTTTTGATGAAATCTCCCAAGTGTTAGCTTTATTTTGATACAGAGATAATTTAAGTAGAGTTTATAAATGCTGACATACTCAGTTACATTTCAACATGTTAAAACCAAGAGAAGCTCTTGGAGCTGAAGAGGTTAATTTCTTCTCTTCGTTTGAAATCAGGATTTCGATAAAGAACAACTGTTGTTCTTTCAGGACCCTGATGGTGAACACGCTCGGCGTGCGCTGCAGCGCGTGGGAGGAGTTCAGCAGAGTGGGCGGGGTCAGGACCTGGGCCCAGGTGGGATGAACGTCCCGCCCTCCATCGCCAACAACCCCAACATCCCCCCGGAGGTCATCCACGCCCTGCAGGCCGGGCGGCTGGGCAACACGGTGTTCGTGGCTAACGTGAGGCCCGCCGGCGGCAGCTGTCCACTCACGTTTAACGTTATTAAACAGCCTGTTTCTGTCCCGCAGCTGGACTTTAAGGTGGGCTGGAAGAAGCTGAAGGAGGTGTTCGGCATGGCGGGGGTGGTGAAACGAGCAGACGTGAAGGAGGATAAGGATGGGAAGAGTCGTGGGATGGGAACAGTGACGTTTGAGCAGCCGCTGGAGGCAGTTCAGGCCATCTGTATCCTTCAGCACATCACAGGGTCCAGTTCTGCTCACAGCAAGAGCAGCTAAAACTGCTGACTCAGCTTTTATTRAACCAGGCTTTAATTCCTCCTTGACTCCTGACTCAGCCATGTTCAACGGACAGATGCTGTTTGACCGGCAGATGCATGTTAAAATTGTGAGTAATGATAGATTATTGAAGTCTTACACAGAAGAGTTCTGAAAATAAACCTTTGTTTGTTTGTTTGTTTGTTTGTTTGTTTGTTTGTTTTGTTTGTTTGTTTGCAGGATGAAAAATCTCTTCCTGTTGAAGATTTCCGCCAAGTAGAAAAATCTCCTCAGTTACCACGTGAGTTAGTTTGAGTTTAGAAATGATGTTTTTGTCAGTTGGTTGGAGGAACCAGATGAGTTTTGATCAGATGAGATGGTTTTAATGAGTGTAAATCATCAGATTATTGATGGTTTCAGATGAAACCATCAATAATCTGATTATTGATGGTTTCATCTTGAAACCACAGAACAAACTGATTCATGTTGTTCAAACTGGAATAAGAAGTTCTTTCATTCAGTTTAAATGTGGTGAACACTGACCCTGGTTCTGTTCTGCAGGTGGTCTGGGTGGTATCGGGATGGGTCTGGGTCCAGGAGGCCAGCCTATAAACGCCAACCGTCTGAGTGGGGCGGGGGGAATGGGCTCCATGGGACCTGCAGGTGAGCCAGGAACCAGTTCTGTTCAATAAGTCTGACTGACTGACTGACTGACTAACAACATTCATCTGTTCTTCCATTTTAACAATTCAGATATCAAAAGATCATTTTGGTTTTTCAGCTATTTATACTTTTTCAGTCACTTTTTCCACTGAGAATGAATTAATTTAAACTGTTTTCAACATCTTTAAAATCCTTCAGTGTTTCTCACAGAGGAAACCTGACCGAACATCAATATGTGACGAGTCTGGAGTGAAACATGTTGATTTTTCAGCTCCTTTCTGTTTTCTGACAGTAAAGTAAAGTAAAGTAAAGTAAAGCTTTTTTATGCCTCTAGCTG